ACTCTGATCTTAGGTTTGCCGCCGTCTGAGACCACATCGAAGGGCCAGTGCTTCATATCTGACTGAACCGACGAGTCGTCAAACCGGCGGCCAATCAGTCGCTTGGCGTCGAAGACAGTGTTCGACGGATTCATCGCCACCTGATTCTTAGCCGCGTCTCCAATGAGTCTCTCGGTGTCAGTGAAGGCCACATAGGAAGGTGTGGTGCGATTACCTTGGTCGTTCGCGATGATCTCCACCTTACCATGCTGGAACACTCCAACGCACGAGTAAGTGGTTCCCAAATCGATACCAATCGCCGCTACTTTTGCCATCACTTATGATATTGTGGTAGTAATGGTAATAACTGTAACACTAATACAACACTAATTCAATTTATACTTTATTTAACTTAATATGACTTCAATTCAGTTATGGTTTGAATGTATGTCTCTTTGAATCAAATGTTTCAATGCTTTCAGCGATCACTCGATCTCTCCTTATATTCCTTTTCAATGCTTTCACACAAACTCTAGAACTTTCTAGAAGTGAGTGATTCATAGAAAACGTGTGTTAAGTATAACTCCCTTCGCATTGACGACAACACAAACTCTTTTGACCCGTTTTGACATTTTTGATGAAATGATGAGTATTTCCACAATTTTCCACTCAATACCTGAATATATTGACTACATTAGTAATGATGTCATTCACTCATTCACTTTGCCATACATTTAACTTTTAAATGTCATGTATTTCCCAACCCTTTTCAATAAGTCATACATTTTTTAAAACTTCAATTTAAATTCCATTTAAAACTATATTTACTGTTAATTGATTGACAAACTGAGTGTATGATTATGTATTCATTGATATAGCTATCACTAAATCAACGTGGTGAGCATGCACATTTACGAACAAATTGGAAACATACTGTTTAACATAGGGTCTATCGGATTAGATTTGCCATTCATTTGATACACAATTTAAAGCACTTTAAAGTGATTTTCCTTTGTTCTAATCCTTTCTCAATAACAGTACTGTTTATTTGGTTTGATTTGAGCTCTCATTTCAACTATAGTTTAAACTTTAAATCAATTATTTGATAATTGGCTAACAGTTACCGTAAATGTAGTAAATTTTAAGGAATAAATAGTGGGTTAAATAGATTTAGATTAAGTTAGACGATATGGTCAGCTCAAGCAAACCAAATGTCCACTTTTATAAACTATAAATTATAATTTGTTGCATAACTGTATAAGTATTACAATTATGCTCACAATTACTGTAAATGTGTTTGAAATTCAAGTTTTCTAAAGTGCCAATTATTGAGCAATTAGTGTAAAAATCAGTTAGAAATGCATCACAAGTGTTGGGGTGAAACCCATTGAGAGTATTGTTGAGTGAAATAGTGTACTAAACGGTCATTCAATGAGCAAACCATTCATTATATGACAACTCTTTTACGACTAATTAGGACTCAATTTGCGGCCAAAAAGCCTTTACATTGCAGTCAATGTTGGGGTCAAACACACAGTCCGTCAAATCCCACAAATATAGCCCCATATGAATGCACTATTAATACCCGGTATTGACTACAGTGCAGTCACAGTGCAGTGTCTACTGTACCCTAAATACTGTAATACTGTTTGTGAAATCCCCCAAAAGCTGTGATCACATGACTAGTGATTGTTATGAAATGAAATGATGGCAAACATTTGTGGCAAACGATTCGCCCGACTATTCACTCAATTAGAGGCCAAAGCGTGGCCTTTGAGGCCAAACACTGTCGGCAAACAAGTGTCGCGAAAGAGTCACGGATAGTAAGTGTTGAACTGCGGGATCAGTTGATGGCAATGGTGTAACACTTGTTAATGATTTGTTGATTATCTCAGCGCTGGTTATCGTGA